AAAAAAAAAAAAAAAGATGTCAAAGAATAGAAATGTGTTGCACTGAGGAACATTCAATTTGCCCATCTGCCTCACAGTTCTCGGTTCAGGCATCTCTGACCTTGAAGGCGTCCTCGCGCACCAGGATGATGGTCTCGAAAGGGGCCCCGCGTTTATAAGGCAGCTGCTGCACCGTCTCCTCTTGGCCCCAGATCTCCTGCAGCAAAGAGTTGCATCGCACGCAGGGGGAGCCCTCAAAACAAGGGCAGAAGTGCAAGGCCACGTCAGAAGGCGGCCTGGTACTGCCGCCGCAGGACAGGTCAATCTGAAACCTCAAGAGAATAAGCACGCCAAGACATTACACATCTATAGAAAACCGTTTCTCCGGGAAATATATACAGGAATCCACTGCATATTTGCTCTTCAATATTCTAGTCAGTGTTGGTAGGACACCTTCAAGCTTTTGCTAGAAAATAGGAAAAGAAAAAATATCAGAAAGCCTACTAAACATTATTCAACCTCATTTGAGGTTGAATTTTAAATTGCGGCAGTTGTATGCTTGAATCCCATTGAACATTAAATTGCATCTCATTTTGTTAGTTCTGAATTGAGGTAAAAGGATTGTCTAATTGCAAATCTAATTGTAATTTTTTACTATCCATTCATCCATTATACCCACCAATTATTTGTTATTTTATTTTGTTTAAGAACGGGAGTTGTGGTTTAGAGACAGGTCATATTGGCAGCTGTTTAATTGTTTGAGCCTTCCATGCAGCGAAAACTTGAAACTACAACCATGATACCAGACATCGGAACACTCTCACAGTTTATCTTCATCGTTGGTCAGAAATTAATGGACTACAAATACAGTAGTGTGGCTTTGTTGCTCTTTTTGTGCCAGCAACAAATAGTGACAGGCTGAACATTTTGATGCTCGCCCACTAGAGGGCACACGATACATAATTCACTTGCCTTGTGTCTTGGCGAGTTAACGGTTGGGGAATCGGGAATGACAGTTAGTGCATGTGCATTTAAATGCTGCAACTGTGTTAGTCACAGCTCACCTGTCAGCATTTGAAGGGACAGTGCCCTGGATGATGATGATCTCTCCGGGGTGCAGGCCTCCAGGTATTGATCCTGTGTATGGGATCACCTGAGGTGGAGAGGTTAGACCACTTAACACAATATTGGGGAAATAACGAGATTCACATTGAGTTATTAGCGACAAATTCTAGTACCGCGAATGTTTAAGCAGAGATTGACCACTTAATATCTGATTGTCGCCACCGGGACGTAATATTGTAATAGCGATGGCAATACGCCTCTCACCGGTTTCAGGACACTAAGCTTCGCGTTTGCCACCGACATCGAGCTTCCTGCGTCGGTCCACAAACAATTTGTTCGAGACAAATCAATCGAGGGAGCGAGTTTGCCGATTAAATATGACCGTTTATCTCATTCAGCGTTAAATTGGGGCGAGCGAAAGTGGACGCCGTGCGAGCCTTCGATGGCACGCATGCGCACAATTGACACGTGACTACAAGGTCCTGTTAAAGACAACAGTGGTCAACTGTAACAGCGATCAACCTTAAAGTAAACCACTCCTGGTTCAAATGCCATCCGCAGCACGGGATTTGAAAGTCACATTTAACTCAACTGTTGAATTAATGCATGCAATCGAAAGGAAGTTAAAGGGTGACGACCCACACTTTCACTTTCTGTGTTGCAAAAAAAAAATAAAAAAGTAACAAGTGATTGACAGTACTCCAAGCCAATAACATGCATCCGGTGTTTCAGACCAATCAGACCACTTCTCCGGTGATCCTTTTCGATGTCATATCTGTCCTCACACCCCTCCCTCATCATTACGAC